CGAGATCGGGCAGCTAACTTGATCATGAGAAGAACTTAATTTGAGCAAAAGAGGGAGGGAATACCAGCGTCATGGACTGACAAGAGGCTTCTCGTGTTGAATCCGGTTGGACGGGAGGTCTCTCCACATTGGCGCATTGATGACAGACAGATGGTGCGTAAATGGACATTGGAAACAATATGATTTCGGAAACTCCAATGGGGGTCGAGATACAGCTTGTATCATGGCACAGATGTCGAGTGGCTATCCGTACTCTTGAACACCTTGTTCGTATAGGGTAGCTTGAAATGCATAAGATCAGGGGATAACCCTAACCCTATTGTAGGGCATGTGTCAGCAAACGACCAAGGCTCGCTTTCACTGTGGTAATCACGAACTGGAATCGGATGCCTTACGACAATGGATTGATGGCCAGAGGCGACTGTGAATAACCGAAGTGGAAAAACAAAGTAAAGGTTCTTGGTTGAATCCGAAGTCTGTGGTTGGATTAAGCTTGGAGCTATCGATGCACATCGGCACTTCACTGGCTGACTAACACGTCTGTTGTCAGCTGAACAGGCACCACCCCTGGCTTTAACCCCAGCCAAAGCGGCCAAAGCCAAATGCTGACGACATTAAATGGAAGCTGAACCCCGCCTCCATCTCAACCTCCATCTTGCACAAACTCAGGTCCTTATGTTCCTTTGGACTTGTTGGGCTCTGAACAAGACAACCTGGAATGCCCTCGTCCCGAAACAAGGCATACCTGCAATAAACCCACCCAGTTCAACATTGCCACCCATGGCTGATGCACCAGCCACAACCTTCGACGCCCTCCCTCCGGAGTTGGTATCTCACATCTTCTCCTTCCTAGACAGCCCAGCACCATCGGAACTTCAACTCCGCGAGCAGCCGAACCCGTCGGCACTCTCGTCTCCATCCGACACGCATCTCAAGTCCGTCTCGCGTGTCAGCAAGCGATTTCGAGCCATTGTCTCGCCCCTCCTCTTTCGCCACATCATCTGGCCATTTGACCGCTGGGACTTGGTTTATCCTGGCCCGAAACCCGGCTTCGAGTTCGATGCCGCTGGCAACTTCATCGACTTGCCGCTACTTTCCTTCATTCGCGAAAATGGTCTCGGCTGGTGCGTCCAGAGCATTACCCTGGCGGTGAGCGGCCAGTACCGCCTCGCAGCTCCTGGTAATGCTGCAAGCAGCGGAGCGGCACCTCCTAAGCCCTCTTACGCTGTCTCGAGGGAAGACAGCTCCCAAGATGAAGCCGATGAAACGAGTGTGACCAACTACGGAACGATACATCCTTCGCGAGCGACCTTCCCTCGTCCCGAGGATGAGGACTTGGCGAGCACAAAAGCAGGCTGGACCTCGCGCTGGAGACAACATTCGGCCCGCAGCGAGGACACAAACTGGCTATGGAAGCTGTTATTCAAGGAGATGGATCCGAAGCGCATCACCATCATCGCCCTGCCTCGAATGCTTGCAAGTCTGCTCTCCCGCATGATATTCCTCGGCGACGCCTGGACCTTCAGGGATCAGTACCATATTCTGTCGCTGGACCGACGAACGCCCGAATCACTGGAGAGGTGGAAGCCTGCACCGCCTCCATCCAGCTCGCGAGAGACACCCGTCGAGAATGAAACGACAACGCCTCCTAGTTCGTCAGAGCCATGGGGCGATCCCACCAAGCCCATCAAAACGGTTCTCTTCACCATTCGACCATGGAAATCGGTTCTGCTGAATGAGGGATCATCACATCGGGTTTACAAGACCTACGAGTTCTTCCTCAAGCGTCCGCCATCCATCCTTGGTTCTCTCCTCGGCTGCGAGGAAGCTCCCAACGACGAGCCGCTAATTCCGCCCTCTGTCCGCTCCTTCTCGTACATCGCCATCTTCCCCCTATCGTCCCACTTCAACAGCCTCGTCAACCACCTTCCAAAGATCGACAACCTCTACGTCCAACTGGTGCCGAGGAACAGCATCCTCGACGATAAGGAGGAGATGCGGAACATTCAAGTCGGCGACCTCTGGATGGAGCGCAACACGTGCTACAGCCTAGTGATGCGGGCACTGTTCGGCGCAGAGATGGGTATCGGTTTCGACGACGAGAACATCAACCCCGATAACGGTTGGAACACCCTGAAGGTCTTCGAGAGCGGCGACGCAGCGGACAGGGAGGCATGGCACATGGCAGTTGAATACGTCCGGGCGAGCCGCACGCCCTGGACGGTCATGGCAGATGGAGTGCTGGTCAAGGGCGGGGAGGGAGAGAAGCTGCCCGCAGCGTCGCCTGGAGACAGCTTGGACTCCCAAGGCGGTGAGGAGGATGACGTCGAAGGGTTCGATCTGTTGTCAGTACCCCCTTCTTCTTCGTAACTGTTGCCTTGAAGACCCGACACTATGCCGCTACGAGAGAATTTCTGACGTGAGAACAAGCAAGGGGCAACTAGAGGTTATGGCGTGGAACGGGAGCGCCCAACTCCCATACTCGGCGGCCGGTCATTATCTCACCACGGCGGACGAGGTGTTCCATCTGTGAGGAGCACTTGTTTTAACGGCGGATGACGCTTATCGCTCGTGATATGGGGCTTCGGCGATATTCCTTGCTATTATGGAAAATTTGAGAGGACTAGCCGCACCACCACGCTCGAGGCCTTCCAGTGTGGTACCACCACGACTTTACCATATTGTGTTGAGAAAAGTACCGCTATGTTTGTGATCTCAAAGAGCCTACGTCTGCCGCAAGTGTGATCTACTAGGATCTGGAACTTGCCAACCACATGGGCGTCGCTTAACAGGCAGACTGAGCTATGTACTCTTACACCACACACACTCGCGCGCCCTTACAACAAAAACATGTATGTAGGCTGTGCACAAAAGCAAGAACACTGCCACTTCAGGTAGATCTACCACTTTTCCGTCCCGAGGCTGCATAGTGACCGGAACCTTTGGAGCTGACCGTGACAGCTAGCCCTCGCCTAATTGCACGATGTGTGCCGCTGGTGTCGCACAGGGTGTGACGAGAACCGCGGGGAAGGGTCACTGGTGTGGTGCTATTGGTGATACGCAATGCCTAGCGGCGGCTTGCGGACCATGAGAACAATGGCCCGCGCCGTTAGTGTACGCACGGTTTGCCACGTCTGTGGTTGGCTGGAGTGGTAATGCCGGTGTATTGTGGCTTCTGTCGGTGTATTGTTGCTTCTGTCGAGACTGGCTATGTCCGTCGTCCGGACCAAAAACGGACGGGCAGACGAGTAGTCTCACTCAGTCTGCAGATGGCGAGGTACTTCTTGTCCCGGTGCTCCAAAGCACACTGCCCGGCATCATAAAGGCGCCTGTTCCCTGAGTTATTCCCTAGGACCTCCTCCTCCCATCATGCAACCATCCTCGCAGTCGATGACTCTCTTGACTGCAAGATGACAGCAAACGGCATTCACCCTCTCCGCGTGGTCGTCGTAGGCGGCGGCATCACGGGGCTCCTCCTCGCCCAGGGTTTGCAGAAGGTTCTTAGCTCCGTAACTCGCCAAATGCCACCTCGCCCGCCAGATCACTGACACCACCCACTCCAGAACGGATACCAAGTCAGAGCGTACGAGCGAGACGCCCATCTCAACCAGCGGGACAGGGACTGGACTATGTCCATCCACTGGTCCCTTCCCAGCCTCCGGAGGATCCTGCCCGAGGATATACTAGCGGACATCCATCTAGCTTATACCGACCAGTCGCGGTCTTACGACAACGACCAGCCGCCCATCCCGTTTTACAACGGGATAACTGGTCAAGTCTTGCATCGCGTCCCGGCACCGAATCTCCGCCGTCTGTCGAGGGCTCGGTTCAGGGAGCTTTGTGCGAGGGGACTGGATGTGCGGTTGGGGAAGAAGTTGGTCGGCATGAGCTTTGACGAGAAGGATGACGGGCCGGTGACGCTTCGGTTTGAAGGCGACGAGGAGCCGGTGGAAGCTGACCTTGTCATTGGAGCGGACGGTACAAACTCCAAGGTCAGACGGCTGCTGATTGGCGAGGAAGATGGCGTGGCTACGGCGTCGGAGTGGTGCATGTACAATGGCGTTGTCTGCTATGGCGATGCGGAGAAGGCGCGGTTTGTCCGGGAGCCGCATCCGCTTTGTACCCTCGCGTTTACGGAGCAGGGACTTGCTTTCTGCGGGAGTGAGTTTGCTTCCTTGTCTCAAGGCCTTCTGGAGGGTACTATTGCTAACACGAACTTGTCACCCAGTCCAAAACGTCCCCAACCCGGACGCCCCAGAGACATGGTCCTTCAACATCCTCCGCTTCGCCTACCACCAGCTAACCACCTCCTTGACCGGAGACGTCGTCATTGAGCGACTAAAATCCATGTCCCACACCATAAGCGAGCCATTCCGCTCCGCCATCGACTGGATACCGCCCACGCGGAGCAACTTCTTCGCCACCCAGCTGCGCTACTGGGTCACCAAACAGTGGGATAACCGCTGCTCCCGGGTCACGCTGGCAGGCGACGCCGCGCACGCGATGTTGCCTGCGCGTGGGCAGGGCATGAACGCGCTGGAGGATGTGGGGAGGTTCGTGGCGCTGATGGATGGGGTGAAGCAAGGCGCACAGCCGCTACCGGACGCATTAGGTATATATGAGAAGGAAGTAGTCGAGAGGGGAAGAGATGTGGTTGTCAGGTCGCTCGAGGATTGTAGGGCTAACATGATGGTTGCCGAGGTGGGGAAGACGAGACTTGTTAGTAAGGGACTAGATGCTTAGGGGGTTATCCAAAGCCCAGGTGACAGTGAGCAACACTTTTTTAATCTATCTCCCCAGCTCCCACCTTGCGAGGATACATCTTGTCGTCCCCGCGGATCTTCGTTCTCGCTTTGTCCACACCAAACCATCCACATCCGCGCCTGCCGCAGCATATACATCAATAGACTGACTCGTTCTTTCCGAGGAAAGAGCCACAGTCCAACTCCACGGAGCACCTCCCCAGTTGATAAACCTAAATAGCATGAGTCGTTAACATCGGTCCCATAGCTCAGTTGGTTTAGAGCGTCGTACTAATACTTTCCGTCCCTCGGACGGTTAGGATTAAGTAAATGCGAAGGTCGAGAGTTCAAGCCTCTCTGGGACCAGTTTCTTTTTGGCCTTTTTGGCCATTGTATTTATGGTTTCATCTTTTTCCCCCATGTGAGTGAGTAATGACTGCACCGTGGAAGACGGTCACTAGTCCGGGTACTTGGTCTTTGACGTCTGTCTTCCACATTTTTGGCGCCCAAAGGATATAGAGTTGAGCAATGTTTTCGTAACAGCGTTCTGGTCGCTATCACGAGTCGATCAACACCATTACGCTTGATGAAAGCAATCCTTTCACCATCACACACATTCTTCCGCCAAATTCATTCACCAGTGCTCGCATATATCATATATCACAACCCCCTCCGAACCTCCCCAGCAGTTTTCTCAACAAAAGCGTAAACCGTACTCTGCGGATGACCAGGCGTCAACAGCGCAAAGGAACTGACATCCACAACCCTGAGCCCTGTCACACCAATCACTCTTGTATGGGGACATGAACTTGTCGGCGGATTTGCTACCGCTGCGGTGCAGCCAGGAACAGGAACACGCTCTAGGGTCAGTAGGGAGATGTGGCTTGAGGAGAAACTTGGGGCATCCTGGCTGTTGTCTGCGTGGTGCGTAGCATTGCAGAAGTAGTTCGCAGTTCGTGACAGCATTCAAGTCTTACGACTGCAATCCTAGCCATGTGCGAATGTCTGATGCCGATGGACTGCCCTCTACTCGGCGTGTCAGACAACATCGTAACAGGAATTGGTATGCTAAATGCCCTGATCACGACAGCACATGTCGCGGTAGCATCGAGACACAAAGCGGTTTCCATGAGCTTCTTCGATTAGATGATTGAGGAAGGAAACATAAAGCGAACGTACAGCTGCGGTAGGCAGTGGTCAATACCGTACAGTTACATGGGCTATATGTGCGTACTATCGCTTCCAGCCAAATGTATTATAGTACTCTCGTCTGGTGGTCGCCTCGTCGCCCTGTCGCCCTGTCGTGCAATCGTCCGCCCATCATGGAGAGCACTGCTAGTGTGCAAAAAGAAATCACATACCGAATGAGCCATCCATCCGGCACGCATAGCAAAAACAGAAAGAAAACCAGCCTAAAAAAGAGAGGATGATGCCCTTTGAAGGACGAACACCGGGAATTGAGCCCGATGCGGGGGTCGAACCCGCAACCTTGAGATTAAGAGTCTCACGCTCTACCGATTGAGCTAACCGGGCTTCACAGAGACTTGTTGTGGGATTGATGGAGGACGGAGGCGGTGTTGCGCTTCATGAGGTTGGCGCAAGTAATTGGCCGAGTGCGGAAAGACAAAAGAAAAGTTTGTTGCCCTGCGAAAGTGGGTTCCGTCTGAAGATTCTTGCGTCTGCGTTGCCTGACCCTGAGTGGGCGGATTCGAATGGGTGGGGTACAGAGAAATGTGAGGGTTATCGACCATTGACGGATGGGTTGGTAGCTGTCGTGTGTATGGACAGGATGAAAAGAAGTTAAACTGACCATCAAGGAGGATATGACTCTGTCCAACGAGGTGGACGATGTGGTCCACTGCCGAGAAAGAAAAAGGAGTAGCCGTCGACATGAGCTTCTCTCGAAAGGGAGATGTGGTCAGGCCCAGCCCCTATTCCGCTTCCTCGCCCGAGTGCCCCCTTTGCTGTTGACTGACACGATTGCCGTGGTCGTCGTACCCTTCGACGTACTCCCACTCAGTGAAGCTAGAAGGATCGGCGAGATATTTCCACTCTCCGAAGTCAAAGTGAATCCACCCAGGCCCTCCGTCGCGTATCCCCCCGTCCGGATCCAGTCTGGCCTTCCAGACAGGCACATCCTTGCTGCTGAAAATGTTCTCTTCGACAGCACAGTCGATGAGGAGGTGGGTGAACCAAGGGGTATGACTAGGACAGGGGTCGTACTTCGCGGTCGCCGACCTGTAGCCGTCCCTCTCAGCGCTGTCATTATATCCGTTGTCGTCAAAAAGAATCCTCAGCAGCCTGGGGCTCACTGCGGCGCACCATGCGCGGTTCAGGTGCCATTGCAGCTTGAACAGACGGAAGTCCGGCAGCGGATACCGGTCCTTATCATTGGTGTGAAGGTGTACGATATCGCCGCTTCTGACGGGTTGGTTGATAGGGTCCTCTTTGCGATAATCGAAAAGAACCCTTACCACAGTCGGACGTAAGTTGTATTCCAGTATTTCATCCTCTGACCCTTGGGGGCTCAGGTCGTAGAACTGTAGGTACATGTCGCGGCGCCCATCATCGCTAAGTGGACGAAAGGCGATTTCGGCATGTGCCCAGGCAGGGAGTAAGCTGAGGTATATAGGCACGAGGTTGGTTGTTGTGTGGAGTGATGCAGTTGCGGCCACCCTCCAGTCTTGAACACAGTTCGAGGGCCAGAACCACGAAAGGTCATCCCAGAGTGCCTCGATTGCGCCAGCGTCGAGGAAGTCTGGAAAGAGAGGGAAGACGTCTGTACTGTTATCCCCGCTCACGACGCACCTTGCATGGTATGTGTCGTACTTGATAGGATGTCAGATTCGTCATGTCAGTTGTCGAGGGATGTGATACGGCCCACCGCGTCTATCTCAGCGAGGTAGATTGACTCCTTCGCCCGTCCAAGCTCCTCCCTTTCATGGTGTCGCAGGTCCGCGTCACAAACATCTGAGTACATCAAGCGCTTCCTCTGCACCCTTAAAATACTCTGAGCCATCCATCCAGTCGATTGGAGAAACACAATGGAAAACGACTTACAAGTCTCGAGAATGTGCCGTGCCTTGGCTGGGTGCTTGACATCCCAATGCGCTTCCCTTTCGTAGCGCTTCGAGTCCAGGTTCCCGTAGAGGCCGGCCCATAGACCGAATTCATCCTCGTCCATGACGAAGCAACGTGCCAATGGCAGCGAGGATATCCTGCTGCTCACTCTTGACGACGGCCATTGTCTGACCGGGCGACTGGCCGACGGTAGTTCCGACGTACTCAGGTTTATCGAGTAAAGCGTGGTAAAGCGTACGTCTCTGTGGTGGCAGCTTCAGATTGTCGGTTGACCTGGAGCTTTGGCTCTGCCAGCGAGGATGCGATACCGGCAGGTTCGCTGTAGGAAGCGAACCGTCTCCGGCGTTGATAGTAGAGTAGAAACTCGTAATAGTCAGAATCCTTCTCTTCCTCCTCTTCATCTACGCAGTAATCGTCGTCATCGTTATCTTCATCGTCGTTGTCCGATGGGATGGGAGGAACACCACACCTCTCGCGACGGCGGCGGTCGAGAATTGCGTAAGCCCGGAGCTGGTCCATGATGAAGAGACCACTTGATCGATGCAATTCCGAGCTCCAGTTTCTGGCGAGTTGACGGCCAGATTGTGCGGGTTATGTTGATGGCGGGTGCTTCATGTCTTCCCTCGGTGAAGGAGGCGGTCGATATTGAAGCATAAGATATGCCCGTGGCCGAAGGAAGGAACAAACCTTGAATTTACTGAAAATACCAATATATAAAAACAGGAAGAAGAGCTTCGGAATTCTATTGTTTAGCGACTTTGCAGGACGTAGGAAAGACGAGACGGAAAGTGCTAAGATGACTTCATCTTAAATTCAGTGACCGATCTTGAAAGTTGAGGATGAGATGAAAAGAGGAAAGAGGGCCCCGGGTCGAGCATTGAATGAGTGAAGTCTGATGGATGATAACCGAGTTCAATGACGTGAGGAATTGACGTGTATGACGGTGTACGGAGGATGAAGCACAACCTAATAGAGGTTTGATAACGCACTTTACGGAAGTGACAACCAAGCAGCTTCAAAGTGTTGTCTGTGAGTTTGTTGTTGATACAGACACTTGGCAACTTCCGTGAACAACCTGGAAGGTACGAAGTACCGCTGCGTCCGAAGCCGGCCAAGCTGCCAAACGGCGGGTCGTTCCGCCGCGGTGGTCATTGGACCGGTTATGAGCTGGCTATATCGGATTGCTTTCCGCCGAGCGACTGCCCCCACTGGACGGAGCTACCCCGCCACGACCCCCAATATCGCGGAGCTCTTTGTTTCTGCCGCAACACACATGCGCGCATATCGTGCAACGTCAACGCTGCGGGACAGCGGGACAGCCTCGCCCTTGTTCTGAAGGGAGCCAATTGAGAAGTATATAGGGTTCCTCCCGTCCGATTGACACTGGCAGCTTAGCCGCGGTGTTGAAAATACATACCTACGATCTGTCTCTTCCTCCCCTTTGCGTTTCCTCCTCTCCGACATTCAAGAACAGTGACTTACACCAGTCTGATCTGCACAACTCAACCCTTTCCCAACCAGCTAACTCACGCCCACACTCAAAATGGCACGCACCCTAGAAGGCAAACTCGCCATCGTAACCGGTGGCTCAAGAGGTAACGTCTACCCTCCCTCCCCTGTCTCCCATGTTCATCCCATCTAACAATCCCTCCAGGCATCGGCGCAGCAATAGCAGAAAACCTCGCCTCCAAAGGCGCCAACCTGGTGCTAAATTACACATCCTCCTCCTCCGCCGTCCTCGCCCAAGACCTCGCCTCCAAGCTCTCCTCCGCCTACAACATCACCGTCCACACAGTCCAAGCCGACATCGGCACCCCTGCCGGCGCAGCACACGTCGTCGATTCCACCAAGTCCTTCTTCTCCTCAAACTTAACCAAACCCTTCCAAATCGACATCCTAATCAACAACGCCGGCGTAGCAATGAACAACCTCCTCCCCGCCGTCACCGTCCAAGAATTCGAAGAGACCTATCGCGTCAACGTCCTCGGCCCCCTCCTCATAACCCAGGCCGTCGCCCCCTACTTACCCACTAACCGCTCCGGCCGCATCGTCAACTTATCCTCCGTCTCGAGCTCGACGGGCTTCGTCACCCAGACCGTCTACGGCGGCTCCAAGGCCGCCATCGAGGCCATGACGCGCACGTGGTCGCGCGAGCTGGCGGAGAGGGCGACGGTGAACGCCGTCAACCCCGGCCCTGTCGAGGGACCGATGTACAAGACCAACACGCCCGACTTCTTGGCCGGAATCAAAGGGTGGATTATGCACACGCCGCTTATGAAGGCGAG